CATTATTTTGTATGGATTATCCTATTACCTTGAACCTCATTTTTGTTTTTTTTATTTGTTTTGATGACTCAATTTACATATCGCTTTATATTCCCCAACTTTCTTTATAATACACATTTTATTGAAATCCAATACTTTTGCAGCTACATTATTTATTAATTATTGTACTCAACTATTCACTGTACTATTAATAATAATTATTGATAAAGAAATTATTAAAGATAAAATAAACAATGAATCATTGAGTTTTCAATTGTAAGGTTATTGTTTTCTTTACAATACGTCATTATGTGACAGATGTCATTTCCATTTGACGTTTTTGCATCATTCCTGTTCCTGTCAACACAATGAATTATAATTATAAGATTATTATTTTTTATGCAATACGTCAATATTTGACAGATGTCATTTTCAATTGACGTTTTTGCATCTTTGCTGTTGCAGTTTACACATTGAATCCATCCAAAACTTTGATTCATGATTCATTAAGAAATTTATCTGGTTATTATTAATTACATTGATTGGATTCTAAATAATTATAGTGTTTTCAATTATAAGATTATTTTTTATACAATACGTCAATATGTGACAGACGTCATTTCCATTTGACGTTCTTGCATCTTTCCTATCAACACAATGTATTGCAATGATTATATTTTAAATAATTCATTAATTTCTAATTCTAACGACTATGAGAATATGCAATGATCAATAGTGTTTTCAATTATAAGATTATTATTTTTTATGCAATACGTCAATATTTGACAGATGTCATTTCCAATTGAAGTTTTTGACGTATTATATTTGACAGATGTCATTTCCAATTGAAGTTTTTGCATCTTTGCTGTTAACACATTGAATCCATCCAAAACTTTGATTCTTGATTCACTAAGAAACTTATCTGGTTATTATTGATTACATGGATTGGATTCTAAATATTTTAAATAATTCATTAATTTCCAACTGTAACGACATTGAGAATATGCAATGATTAATAGTGTTTTCAATTATAACATTATTATTTTTTATGGAATACGTCAATATTTGACAGAAGTCATTTCCAATTGAAGTTTTTGACGTATTAAATTTGACAGATGTCATTTCCAATTGAAGTTTTTGCATCTTTGCTGTTAACACATTGAATCCATCCAAAACTTTGATTCTTGATTCATTAAGAAACTTATCTGGTTATTATTGATTACATTGATTGGATTCTAAATAATTTAAATAATTCATTATTTTCCAATTGTAACGACTTTGAGAATATGCAATGATTAATAGAGTTTTAAATTGTAAGATTATTATTTTTTATGCAATACGTCAATATGTGACAGATGTCATTTCCAATTGACGTTTTTGCATCTTTGCTGTTGCAGTTAACACATTGAATCCATCCAAAACTTTGATTATTGATTCATTAAGAAATTTATCTGGTTATTATTAATTACATTGATTGGATTCTAAATAATTATAGTGTTTTCAATTATAAGATTATTTTTTATACAATACGTCAATATTTGACAGATGTCATTTTCAATTGAAGTTTTTGCATCTTTGCTGTTGCAGTTAACACATCGAATCCATCCAAAACTTTGATTCATGATTCATTAAGAAAATTATCTGGTTATTATAGATTACATTGATTGGATTCTAAATAATTCATTAATTTCCAATTGTAACGACTTTGACAATAAGCAATAATTTATCCAATTCGTCAATATGCAACAAATGTCATTTTCAGTTGTCAATGACGTATTGGAATACAATCAAACTAATGCAACTGAAACATCAAATTTGTGCATTGTAATCGTAAAAATCCAACATAAAACCTACATTGAAACGTAAAACAAATAGAAAATAAACCCTGATTGAATTACCGAATTTACAAATGGAAAATATCGGAATTCTCGCCGTCAAGGGTATAAAAAAAACAACACTTCCAATTTCGCGTCAGCGCGACATATAAAACGTAACGATATCTCCGCATAAAAATCGTCATTACTATTACTAGAGAACTCTCATTCCCAATGTACTTTGAAGTCATCATAAGCTCGATGATATTCCCACAGCGATGTTGGATACAAGCCCAGAACCGAGCCCAAATGTCGTGCAGCTCACGCACTACGTGACAACTTGCCGGTTTTTTTTGCTCATGGGAATTGCACGTAACAAACGAGAAGAGAAGAGAGAAAAAAAGGAAACGAAAATGGATGTACATGAAAGAATAAAGCTCACCTTTTTCTTTCTTCTTCTTTTCCCCTTCCAACTCGGATATCATTTTAGCATTTATACAGGTGACGCAACACCTTCTCCCACGGGCGCCGTTTGAAAACCGGGTAATGATTATATTCGTTCAAAATTTAAAATAAACTAACCTTCTCAATCATTCATCCACTACACAGAAACCCTTTCAAATTCTCCGTTTAATGTTTAATTCGACGCAAACAATGGATGGATCAGACTTGCTAAAATTTTCAGAAGCTCTCCCATCTACAACTTACAATAATTAATAAGATAACTTCAACAAAAAAAAATCATTACCATAGTTACCTCTTGTTCTAACGTCATCAAATAAACTTCAATGACTTTGTTGATTACCATGGAAACTGGCAGATAATTTACCTGAAATTATCACAAACATTTATTGATTTATTCAAGATAATTTGAAATAACTTACGTTCCTTTTCCGGAAGTGGTATGCAAAAATTTGATTAAAAAAAGGAAGCGCTGCGGACAGGATTCGAACCTGCGCGGGTAGAACCCAATGGATTTCAAGTCCATCTCCTTAACCACTCGGACACCGCAGCTCATGAAAAATTATCTAATATAATCCAAAAACATCATTTGCGAACTGTCACTACAATTATTAATTAGTTTAAAATTTCATTTAAAAAACATATACGAAACATAGTAATTATGTAATCAAATTCATTTGTTTTTGTATTCGATAATTTCCAACAGCCTTTTGAAGCACTCAATGCGGAAGTCACTGAAACGAAATATTAATTAATACGAATTAAAACAAATGAACTTCCGGTTGCAATAATTAAGCTTAACTTTCGGAGTGATAGATGGAGATGAAGGTTTCTCCAATTTCAATGTACGAGGTGGCAATCGCAAGCCCGACAACCGAAATACCGTCAATCAATTTCCCGACGTTCGAAATACCGACAACCATAATCCCGACTATATTAAAATCCCGACAACCACAATTCCGACTGTATCAAAATCTCGACTATATCGATAATGTCTTCAATAACATACGCTCCAAAATAATTTAAAAATGTTTTAAAATTTTCAGGATGTTGATACAGTCGGGATTTTGATATAGTCGGGATTATGGTTATCGAGATTCTGATACAATCGGGATTATGGTTGTCGAGATTCTGATACAGTTGGGATTATGGTTGTCGAGATTTTGATATAGTCGGGATTTCAATAGACGATCTTTCGGTTGTCGGGCTTTCGATATAGACCCCAAAGCACGATAGTTTACTGTGGAGTCATCTCGCGGTTATTTTATCAAGTTCAAAGTTCATAGATCTGGGCGCTGATAGAATCACAAAAGTTTATATTTACTTAAATGCTTGCATAAACTAACAACTCGAATAAACTTTAGATTTATAATTTGTGTATTTTGTGTATATGAACGCGTTCAATATTGGATAACTGCGAATTAACAAAATTGTTGAGTAGACAACCAAAGTTGATTATTATGAAATGAATAAAATTTCACATTTTCTTTTTGACACATTACGTAATAAATATTAAATAAAACATTGAAATAATTGTACATTTGATGTATGTAACATTCAATATAATTGATTCATAAAATCTTCACATAATCATGGATATTAATGAAAAGACATAGAAGTTTAATTCAATTTATAAATTTGCAGATTAGACAACCAAACTTGATTGTTATAAAACGAATCTAATTCACAGGACCGGATTTCATGAATTTCTCGTTTACGTAATAGATTTTTAAAAAATCTAATAAGAATCAAACATTGAATATAAGTTTGATCTATGAACCATAAACTATAATGTATTCATAATTCTCAGAAGTTATGTATTTACATATCGATAATTTAAAAATTAAACAAGTTTTACTGAATTTAGACAACCAAACTTGATTAAAATGTAAGGTAATAAAATTCCTTAAATATTTATTAAATATGAAATAACTATGGGTATAATCTACGAATTTATAATATTTAATCATAAATAGTGCTTGGAAATATTATCTAATTAGAAAACTATTAATAATTTATTTTTTTGTTAATATTTTGACATTATGAAACAAATGAAATTCCGTATTTCATGGATTCCTCGATATTTTGTTTTAATTAATAACTTTATGTAATAAGTAATAACAATGAAAGATGGATGGAGATGATCCACGAATAAAATAAACCAAGAATGAACGAAAAATGTTGCACATTGTAAATGTTAATGAATTACGAAACGCGTCGTTTCCATGTGAATCACGTGCGGCATTTCTGTTTGTTTTTTTCTTTCCTTCGAAAAACCAGATCGAAACGCGAGATTTTCATATAAGTCCGTTGTTGAACTGTTAAAGGATGGAATGGAATGAAATCCTCGGTGCGTTTTAGGCAAACGAAACGCGCGCATAATTCATTCAAACGAAGAAGAAGTAGAAAAACAATAAAAATAATAAGAATCATCAAGATGCATCGCATTTGCTCCTTATGCCGAAGCGAGGAGTTTGATGGGCATTCCGAAGTGGCACTGCCAACAATAAAATCTTAATTCGTATGCGATTTGAGGAACAATCCGAGAGGAATCTAAGACGTGCGCGAACGCACCGAATATGGGAATGGGATGGGCGCCGCAAAAGGACTCCTCTCTCTCTTCCATTTCCATTACCATTTCCATCAGTTTATATTCAATTCAAATGAAAAGAACAAATGAGAATTTAACACATAGACACACAGAAAAATATATATAAGTTTTTTCACATTTTATTTACATAAATATTACAAAATAAATACGCTCGTTCTGATTGTCGCACGAATTGCATTCGCTCTGCAAGCTTTTTCTTTTTTTTTTTAATATATCTATAATATTTTTAATACTGGTTAAATAATAATGATTAGGGTGTTTTTTTTTACTAAACTAATATCACAAAAGTATGTTGTATGTACATGAGTCGTGAAACCCGAAGGGTTCAAGGCACGATTTGATTGTAGAGAGAAGTGTTTGTTTTATTTTCTTTTGTTTTCATGTAAAGAAAAACAAAAAAAAAGTAGAGAGACTTTACGATCTTTTAGACCTTGGTGACGGGTGACTGCTGCCGGAGGCCCTTGTGCGTGAAGTTCGGTCGAAGAACTTTGTTCCAACTCCTGAAGGTCTTGTAGGAGAAGACCCAGAACGTCGAGAAGATGACGCTGGAGAATTTCGCGCCGACCGCGATGTACTCCAAGTCGAAGTAGTGCGCTATCAGATGCGTCAGCAGAGGCACGGAGATGCCGAAGCTGATGAGACCCAGGCGATAGATGAGTCTCTCCAGCTTGTACGGAGATCTACCCGCATGGACGAGCGTCTTCTTCACGTTCCTCAAAGCCAAAGAGGTGGAAACAGATAACGCCATACCGCAGATGACGATTCCTAGTTCGACGAAGAGCACGACGTCGCTGCTCGTCTCGCAGAAACCTGTCGACGGATTGCTCACGATCGCGTTGAAGACAAGCGCGTAGACAATCGGACACACGGATAAGGTCCAGACTATAGAATGGAGACGCGCCGCTATCCTCTCGATGGCCTCGGTCGACCACTCTTTGGATGCGCTCAAGTACCACACGTAGCTGAAGGTGCACCACCAGAGGCAGTAGGCGCAATCGCAGAAGGCGCCCAGAAGAGCGGCGTTCACGCACAACCAATTGTCGAAGGGTTTTACACCACCTTTTTTTGAAAAGAAAAATAAATTAAAATTTGTTGTTTTTTTTTTTAATTTATGCTTAATTACCTGAGCAAGTCAACGATCCTGCCAACCATCGGACCAAGTACGTCAGGGAGGTAACGAAGCCGCAGATCGTCAGGTAGAGGATGGGTCGAGCGGGCCAACGAAATCTCTTCGGTTGAATTGCGAAGGTGAGAAGGGCGAATGTCACGATCATAATTGAAAGGATTGACCAAACTGCGATCCACACCTGTAATACAAAAAAATAATAATATTAAACATCAGTTTCACGTAACTCAGTAGAAAAGCGTTTACGTAATAAGATAAAAGACTTTGACCTATTATTACAGTTACAGATACAAATCATTTTAAACTTTGAAATTCTATGGCTTTGCATGATTGATACTAATATTAGTTCATGATACTAATGATGGCGTCTATTATACATTTGAAGGATTTCAAAACTTTGAATTTTGCTGCTTTGGAATAAGCATTTCTCAAATATTTGTTATTTGAATTACTTCTTTAAAGAATCAATTTAGTAATGATTGTAAATGGAATCTCAGATGGCGTCTATATGACGTTACAAGAAGTGTCACGAGTTTTCAAATTTACCTCGAAAACGAAATCTTCTTCGTGTCCATCGACGCAGATCTTCGTGCATCTGTCGCCTATGAGGACGGTGTCCTGTGGACAGGGCTTCACCTTGATTCGCTGCTGATGTAGCAGGGACGGCTCGAAAGCGACCATCGAAGACAATTCATCCTCGGATCGCTTCTGCATGCAGAGATCCGGCGGTTCCGGAAACCTGGAGCAGTTGAGCTGCGACGGCCACACGAGTCCGGCGGCCTCCAAGGCGGGCATGCAATCCTTCCTCACGTCTTCGCAGAGACCGCGACACGCCGGGACGGCTCCGGGCACATCCTCGGAGCATAGAGGTACGTACACGGAGCACACGAAGAGCCTCAGGAACGGTGAGCATTTGTGAGCGAGAAGACCGTTGAATTCCTCCAGCTGCAAAACAAAAAACATAAAATATAAGTAAAACCAATTGGTTTCTTCTGTGTGTGTGTGTGTATGAAATCGATTCGTAACGAGAGAGATCCGAATTTTCCACGCGACTCGCTTCTTCTTCGTACATTCTCCTGCCAATTAGTTACGGCGCTCGACGCCGAAGTAAATCTCATGCAGTTTATATATGTAGAGAGGAACATGTGTTCCATCTCCACGGACTCGGGACGTCGGTCTTTCGGGGCAACAATAATAATAATAATAATAACAATAATAATACGGTGCCGTCGTTCGTCCCGGTCATTTCTGAGAACGGCCGGAAAGAGCGGAGCCAATCGGCCCCCAAGAAATGAAGAGAGTGGAGAAGAAGGCCTTCTCTTTGCTTGAGATGTGTGTGAGAGAGAGAGGAACGAAAGAAGGAAGGACGGACGGACTCTAATAACAGGGCGGCAATGATCAAGGCGCCTTTGTATTCGGGGCCTGTTTAATGGAACCGAGACGAAGACGAGGAGAACGAGTAGAGAAGAGAACGAACGTGGTGAAGAGAAGAGAGAAGAAGGTAAGTTTCCAACCTTCCAACCATCCATCCATCCGAACCGACCCATCCATCCATCCATCCGTGCGTTTCTTTTGTGCGACCTTGGGCCATCTGGTTTTATGATGTTTCGTGAAAAAGCGATTGAATGGGGAGAGACACACACACACACACCGATTGTTCTTCTCGACCATTTCGATGGCTTCCACTTTTTTCTTGGTTTTTCGTATTCTTTTTGTCTTAAGACCGTAATCGACATTCTTTCAAGTCCTCCGAGGGCGACCCGGTTTTTCTACGCCTTTCCCCATCGAAAACGTTCTTTAATTAAAGTTTCCCAAAAAAAAAATATACCCATCATCATCATCTCTGCATTTCTATATAATATCCAACATTACGCACTAGATCTAATTAGTTACTCAAATCTTCTACTTTCAATTTCATTGGAATCTGATTACACAATAATTCATAATTGTGTTAGTCCAAATTCAGAATGTAATAATGTGACTGTACTATGTGATATAGAAAGTTTCATTGTCGTTATGTAGTTAAAGTTTTCCTAATGGTTCGAAGATCATGATCGCGTCTTCGCGTCAGCAATCTTCTCTATTTAATAACGCATTAGATCTAATTGGTGGTACCTTTCGAGGAAGAGGTTCGTCTTCCGAGAACGGTCGTAATCGCGGCTAATAATGAAGAGAAGAAAGAAAAGAGAACAAAAAAAAAATGGTTACGTAATCGCCGAAGAGTTGAGAGAGAGAGAGAAAGAGCCATCCCGAAAACTAAAATTCAAATGCCCGTCACGCGGCGAGATAACGAAAAATCCCGTAACGGGAAAGTGATCTTGATTTTGATTTAATTAAACCCGTGCATGGTTTGCCGTTTCTTTCGTTCTTGAGGGAAGATTTGGATTGCGATTGCGAGTTTGTTGTTGGCCAACATGAGGATGATGCGCCTTTTCTTTCAGTCGGATGCTGTGTGGGAGGATTGAGGAGGAGGTGGAAGAGGAAGAAAGATGGAATAAAACGGAAGCCGACGATGAGGAGATAGATGGAACCGAGTCGCTGTTGCATAACGGTTTCGAGAGAGAGTGCACGATAATTGCTAACGGCACAGCAGCGGCGACGGATCGTCGGTTCATTTCCTAAGATGCGCTTCAAGTTTTTTTCAAAAAGGATGCACGAAAGATGAATAGAGACAGAGTTTAAGAGAGGAGGCTTCACGGTCTGCGGGTGGCGAAAATAAAATCCATTTGGAAAATCTAATTCCGTATCGCCGGTTGCGCGCGTACGCAATGAACGAACGCTCGAATACTCTTCTTTAAGACGAGCGCATTCTACGCTCGAAAGAAGAAACACACCGCTCGCTCGCACTCTCCATCTCCTGTCAAGATGTTTGCGATCAAAGTGTTGACACATCGACCAACAAAAACATCCGACTAAATTTAACCCCGCAGCAAAGCGCGACGCAGCTTTAAACTCTATGAAAATGCGAAATAGTTTTGTTTTGCAAACGCTGCAAATCTTATGTAGATCACAAAATTTTGTAGCCGCAAATGAATCCTCAAATTAAACTTGATAACAAAGTTTTCAGTGTGCCGTGACATAAAAAAAAAGTTGAAAAAATCACCCCGTTAAATTACATAATAATCACATTAGATAGTTTACTAGATTAATGCAGTTGATTAGTGTCTAGTAATGATGAACAAAATTAATGTTTCCAAAAACATCCGACTAAATTTAACCCCGCAGCAAAGCGCGACGCAGCTTTAAACTGTTTGAAAATGCGAAATAGTTTTGTTTTGCGAACGCTGCAAATCTTATGCAGATCACAAAATATTGTAGCCGCAAATGAATCCTCAAATTAAACTTGATAACAAAGTTTTCAGTGCGCCGTGACATAAAAAAAAAGTTGAAAAAATCACTCCGTTAAATTACATAATAATCACATTAGATAGTTTACTAGATTAATGCAGTTGATTAGTGTCTAGTAATGATGAACAAAATTAAT